CAGAGAACTGTGGTAGACAGTGATCATCCCTCCCGGAGAACCTGCATGCTGTCGATCGATCGAGCAAGCGATCGACGACGGCAAGTTGCGCGCGATTCGCACAACGACAGGTAATTCTCAGAGCTAGCAAGCGAGCACACACCGCGCGTCGCGATCCCAGCTTAGCTTGTTCAATTCAGAACGCCCCGCGCGCGCACCCGGCCGGCGGCTAGGCTAGCCGCGATCGATCGATCGATCGCGGCCAAAGTCCATATATTATTCTTCCGGGCAGAAGCTCCAGCGACGGCGACGGCACCGGCGTACCAGTGCGCGCCCCGCGTCGCGCGTCGCCGTCGTTCTTTTGTCTAGCGATATCGAGCACGCGAAAGGACCCGCGCGCGCGTCGCCGTCGCCATCGCGCGCGGGGGGGGGGGGGGGGGGGGGGGGGACCCCCGGGCCGGCGCGCATATACGCGCGCGCACGTGAAGTTCCACGCGCCGCGCGTGCGCCGTGCCACCTCGCTCGCCGGTGTACGTATATACTCGTCACCGCTAGCTCGCCGTCGGCCTCCACATCGATCCGGTCCATGTCCGCTCAGCTCGCCCTGTTGCCGACACCGCCCATTGGCTGTATCGAGAGAAACGCGCGTCGCCGTCGAGCTCCGGCATTCTCTCCCTCTCCGCTACCTTTATTCGGGGCGATCGACGTCGCTTGCACGAGAAAACGAAGCGATTTTGCTCTACTCTAGACTAGCTAGCGAGCTAGTTACCGCTGCTTGGACTACATGGGATGGGATCGATCTTGGCCTTCTTCTTGGGCAGCTGGACTTGTTGAGGCCTCTCGTTGCCAAGTCATCCCTTAGCAATGCTATCTCTTTAATGTACATCTCTCCCAAAAAGGTGAGGAGTTCTGCAGTGTCCACGCATGCTCTTTCTGCTTTGAGAATCAACAGGGGTGATGTGGATGACACCTAGCTACATATAAATGTGTAAGGGTTTTCATGGTCTGCAGTTTCGAAGCCACATGATTCCTGTAGGATATCAGGATAGATGTGTGTGGCTCTTGTTATAAAGTATAACATTTTGGTTAGTTACATCTTTGTTTAATTAGTTTCCGTACACGAAAATCACTTTTGGTCCGTCTGGAAAAATTGTTTTTTTATAGTGTCTGTTTGGGTCGGTGCCAAACTCAAGTTGGAAAACTTAAATTACTGTGAACGTTTTTGCCGTGTATTTTGATCCTTGGCGACATTTATGGCATTCTACACACATATTTTTTAAAAAAACAATAATGACCCACATGGCATATATTATCTTCTCCACATTTTTGCATAATTAGTCTTCCCACACTTTGCCAAAGTAATGTGTGTGAAATGTTGTAGCCAACCAGATCAGTACTAGCAAGTTCTCTTTATTTGAGGCCACTAGTAGAATAAACAAAATAAATATTTATCTTATTTTTCGGTTTGTTGGTACCTCATAAAAAACTATGTATATTTACTATTTATTATACATAATTTTGCTGCTATCAGTTGTACAACTACAAATTGAACTCGCTTTGGATCAAGTTGCGTAGTGCGAAAGAATTCAAGTACATACATGCATCTCAACCAAGAGCCACACGTATAACTTTTGTGTGATACTTGACTGACACGTGTCTTCATGGTGACTCATCAATTAGAAAAAATCTTCGTAGATCGTGCGACGGGGTTCAACTATGTCCACACTCAAGATGCGCGACAAATTAACTTTGTCTTATATGGTTGAAGTCAATTTTAATATATTTTGTGATGTTGGCATGATGGATCAATTGGTGGTGTACACATTGGAGATGCAAAATGTTGAACTCATAGCCATAGAATTCAACTTATCCCTTATGCTCTAGAAAGGATGTGAATTGGCATATATGCACTATTTACCACATAAAGTAAAAAAAAATAGACATACAGAATCAAAGGCAATGTCCTATATGCTCCTACAAAAGAATCTTGAACAATCTTATGTGTATATAAAGTGAAAAAAACAGTGTATATTTATATCTTTATATACTCTTTAACTATGAACAAAAATCATCCTACCACTCCAAACTTTTAAACTAACATTTATTTCCTGTCACCCTCTTTCTCGGGTGAACTTCGCAATTCCGTCCATATAACCCCCTAAAGCACTTTACGTAAATCATCCAATATATATGATACTTAGGCAAAAATAATTTTATGGAGTTATATGGACAGTGTTGCAAAATTTGACAGGTTGCTTAGAGCAAGTACTGTAAGCCCCTAAACACTTGCCTCAAAATGCCACATAATCTTATATCATGAGGTGGAGGAAAAAAGAAAGTAGAGATAGTAGGAGACACCCCTCATGCAAGGGTAACCTCCACATGAATTTCAAAAGAAATGAGAGGAAAAGAAAGAGTGAATTGGACAAACAAATAAAATGAAATTATTGGGACTAGCTAGTGTGCTAGAAAGTTTAGGGGAGGGGGTACATGAATGTATTTTTCAGGGTTAATTAGATGACTGGTTTTCTAACTTTGGGTTCTAGGCAGAACTTTGGATATTTTTCCTATTTATATTTGCAAAAAACAATTAATTTGAGGTTTATCTATATATATATATAATATAGTTTCAACCTCTAAACCAACACCATTACGCGTATTAAGTAGTGATCCACTATCAGAACACTCAGTTGATATTTACATTTAATCACATGTTGTACATTAATGCATATTTTTTCACAGCTTTTATTTTTGAGATGAGTATATGACTTCAATTTGTCTCTGACTTGTCCTGGACTCCTGCTGGTTGACCATCAGCAGAAGTACTTTAAAGATAAACACTATGGCAATTAATCATCAACACATTCGACATTAGAGTATTCAACTAAACCATAATTCACTGGTAGTGTTTGGAATAATCAAACTAATGCTAGGTGAAATGTGTATTCAACTAAACCATAATTCATTGATGATATGTGTTATGGTCATAATCTAGAATTTCCACATTACAAATTAAGTCCATATATAAGCATTGTGAAGAAAAAAATATGTATTGAAAAATTTATTTGTGAAGCACCTAAACAAATCCAATGTGGGAATGGATATATAACTAACAAATTGGATAGTGCATGATCTTCATGGCACATATCATATAAGTACAGGCACATCAATGGTTAGGTGTACTAGTTTTAAAAGCTAGAATGTTTATTTTAAGAAATAAGGTGATCATTATCATTACTGTGAGTTCTTGCATTGGCAATTTCAAGACCAAACCCTCCTAATTACATTTTTTTTCTATTGCCTCATGCTACTACCACACAACATCCCTTAACCACCGATTAATAACCAGCATCAATGCCGGTTACAGAATGCAGCAAGCAATCGAAACTATCACTACTAGTTGCCCAACCACCTCCCCACACCCCACATAACGCTGATGCACCGCCGTTGTTGTTGCCGTCGTCTTCATCTTGGAGACACGGATGCCATCTTTGTCACCAAGACATAGCTGCCGAGCCGCACCCTACTCCTCCCTTACCCTGCCACCGCCCCCACATTTCCATCTCTCTACCTCCTCCTCCTACCAAATATAGCAACCTCCAAACTGGATCAAGCATGGAATTTTACGAATTCTTAGGTTTTCAAAATAGTGTAATGAAAAAAAGAAGTGTTTTGAATCATCGGAGAGGCCATGGAGGTCCTATCTCCTAGCGGACGCGAGATTTGGAGATAGAGGATGTAGTTTTTGTCGTTGTACTAAATATATGATACCCTTCAAGTATGGAAACATATCTAAATACAGAATTTCCTATATATACCACACCTGGTACGATGGATGGGTATGAAAAGAATACAACCTACCACACCTAGTACGATGGATGGGTATGAAAAGAATACAACCTAAGGCAAAGGTTCTATTAGGATATGATCACCTCATATGGCAAGACTTTGAAAGGCCTACTCGGACAAGACCAAGATATACAAAGTTTATCTCCAAGAATCCTACAAGAAAACCAAGATTATGGGTACAAATATACAGACCTCGTGGTGAAGAGAGGATTGATCTTAACAAGCCAAGTCGATGATCATGACAAGTTCCTGATTAGAAGATCCCAAAGAGATACATGTAGGTATAAATTAGAGCCTCTCTACATATTGCACTCTATACACATCTACATATATACAATAACTAAAAGGATGTAGGGTTATTATCCTAAGGGAGGCTCGAGCATGTATAAAATTCTTTTTTGTCTCGGTGTGCATACGAGGGTCTACGAGGCATTGCCTTTACACAAACAACCCTAGATAGACTTAAAATTGTAGTCATGGCATCAAAGTGTTTACACTTTTATTGTTGCAATGATGTGACTCCTTGGAAATTAAATAGGGTAGTCAAGCATAGAGCAGGGTGGAGAGGTGAGGAAAATCAGTGCACGGAAAGCGAGAGTGGGGGAACTAGAGGGGCCGATAAGGAGAAAACAAGAGGATGGCAGTGGTTCGTGAACTCTAGCCTCAGAGCGGATAGGGCCGCTAGATCTACTGACCCCTAGCTGGATCTGGCACTAAAAGGCGACGGGGGAGGGAGGGAGTAGGCGTGGTGGAAATGATACATCCTCATCTCTAGTTGGGTGGATGTAATGTTGATTAAGGAGTCACTTATTGGCTATCTACTATTATGTCCGTGTCTTTACCCAATATAAAAGGGTTCGAGGGCTAAACAGATTTTTGTAAAATAGGACTCTAATATTTTTAAGATAGGATAACGTAAATGGGTTACAATGAAAAATGGATTATACTATGTTGCAGTATATATATATACCCATCAATTTCAAAGAGCTAAGTTTCAGAGTAAACTTTATTATGTTTATTTAGTAAAGGCACGAGGACAGCGCATGCTCTGATCGTACGGTGTGAATAGAAACCCAATGGCAAAGCTTGAGCTGTCTTGTGGAAAGAAAAAAAAAAGGAAAAATCTCTCGTGATGCGTACAGCTACCAACTGTAGCAGGTACATGCACCTGATTCAGTTGAGCACCAGTACACTGCACTACTCACTCCTAGTATAGGATCATATCATATTCATAGGAGAGAGTCATATGAAAACACACTGAGTAATAAAATCATAGGACTATAAATAAGTATATATACTTCTACATAAACTACTCCGGAGATAGATAGCCATGCATGCAGGCAGCATTACCTGCTGCTGGTTGCCTCTGCCTCCTCAATCCTGACGCCCCGGGGTTCCGTCTCCGGCTGAGAAATTAGGCTAGCCGACAAGAGCTCGCCATACTCCCTCGTAGCTCAACATGGCTTATGTTTAATGCCCCTTGCATCTCTCCCTGCAGCGCATACACATGCCCGGCTCCCGAGAAAGTAAGTCACCGAGGAATGGAGGAGACGAAGATATCTGATTCCCTGCGCCTGCTTTTGTAGCAACCGGTGGCCGGGCGGGGCCGGGATGGTGATGCCATTAGCGCTGACAGTGGTGTTGTTTGTTGTTGTTGCTGTTGTTAGGACCATTAGACCGATCATGCAAATTAATTAAGGGCTAATTTGGATTACTACCCTACTAAAATTTGCCCTACCAAAGTTTTGGTAGGGTAGCAAACTAAACATCTCTACTAAAACTCTACCAATACCATACATTTGGCTTTGTCTATGAACTTGTCTCTTATGGGTAAATTGTGGCTTCAATCCAAATAAACATTTTTAACTCTACCCTACTAAAGTTTTGGTAGCCCAAAATTTGGAACTACCAAAATTTTAGTAGGGCAGCAATCCAAACATGCCCTAAGCAATCAAAGCCAAGCCCCAAGTCAAAGCAAAGCTAGGGGGTGTAGTACTGTACAGTAGCTGCAGCATTCTCTCTCTTCTATCTCCTCTGGCGGCAGTGTCAATCATTAGTGGAGGTATGTGGTACATGTGTGACGCGAGGGGGGGCAGCTTTATTTATCATCGAGTGGAAGCAAGGACTAGCAGTAGTACTACTACTACTACCTTGCTGTGAGTGTGAGACAGTGTCCGTCGTCCTTGAGCCTTCCCATCACCGGTCAGCCAGTCACACTGCCAGGCAGTCATGCTGCCATGCACGCACCTGGAGTACCTGGGCTGGATCTCCGCCGAGCAAAAGTTGCTTTGGCAGCAGCAACCACCGCCGCTTTTGCCTTTCCCGATCGAGCCTGCACCTGCACGCGCCACAAACGAGGACCAACCAAACCAACCCCCGTGGCACCGCAGTTACCAGGCACACTGTGTTGGCTATAGTTTCACTCATGTCATGTCATGCTTCTGCGCTGCGGTCTGCATTGTCACGACGGATGCCGGAGCTGGACCTGGCGGGGGAGTATCACCAAGTACACACTAGCGCAGCCGCTGCCGCTGCCGCTGCCAGTGCCATGCCAACCGCGGGGCACGGGATGGAGGAGTATCCTGTAGTATTCATCATGATGCATGCGGCGATCCATCGATCGGTTTGGTCCCCGCCAATCACCCCAACCATCCATTTATGTCGTCGCGCCCCGCCCCGCCCGCGCGCTGAGACACGCGGCTGCGTAGGTGTGTACCGGTGGCGGGGGGTGCCCCGAGCGTGGAACGTGAGGCAGAGGGGCAGGGCCTCGTTTTGTCACTGGTCCTGAGTACCAGGCGAGGCGACGCCAAGCGAGGGAAAAAAACAAGGGAGGGTTAGACTAATGACGGTGGAGTGGTGGATACAGATACATGCACGGACGGACGGACTCACGCACGCACTCACGCATACATACCGTGGATTGACGCGAGGGCGGTGCAGGGAACCCGGGGCTTGGGGCTGCGGCTGCAACCGCTGCGTTGCGTTGCGTCTTTCTTATCTGCTTGTCCATTCCGTTCCCGTCCGCTAGGTCCCCCCACGCCACAGCCTCTTATCCCACACGCGGACCAACAGCGCCGCCCCGCCCGTCCCCCGCTTCACCTTCGGCTTCGACTTCGGCTTCGTTTCCTCTTCTCTTCGTCTCTCCCTCCCTCCAGCGAAAGAAAGAGAGAGCTCACCTCGCGTTGCCCGGCCGGCCGCGGAGGAGAGCACGGCTTCGCATTCGGCTGGAGCTCTCGTCTCTGCACTCGGAGTACAGCTGCAAACTCCTCCTTCCTTGATTTCTTCACCCTGTCTCCACGGACTGCACAGATGTGGGTGCAACGCGATCTTTCGCTGCCTCCGGTTTAGCTCTCCGGTTGATTCCGATCGAGGAAGCTGATGCATGTGTTTGTATATGGCTCGGTGTTTTGTGTGTGCAGGTCCGACGGCAACGACTTCGCCGAGCTGCTGTGGGAGAACGGCCAGGCGGTGGTGCACGGGAGGAAGAAGCACCCGCAGCCGGCCTTCCCGCCGTTCGGCTTCTTCGGTGGCACCGGCGGTGGCGGCGGCGGCAGCAGTAGTAGAGCCCAGGAGAGGCAGCCCGGCGGCATCGATGCGTTCGCCAAGGTGGGGGGCGGCTTCGGCGCCTTGGGCATGGCTCCGGCGGTGCACGACTTCGCTTCTGGCTTCGGCGCCACCACGCAGGACAACGGTGATGATGACACCGTTCCGTGGATCCATTACCCCATAATTGACGATGAAGACGCCGCCGCCCCTGCTGCTCTCGCAGCAGCGGACTATGGCTCCGACTTCTTCTCCGAGCTCCAGGCGGCGGCGGCTGCCGCGGCGGCCGCCGCGCCGCCGACCGATCTCGCCTCTCTGCCAGCCTCCAATCACAACGGCGCCACCAATAACAGAAATGCTCCGGTTGCCACCACCACCACCAGGGAACCCTCCAAGGAAAGCCACGGCGGCCTGTCGGTTCCCACCACCCGAGCCGAGCCGCAGCCGCAGCCACAGCTCGCCGCAGCCAAGCTGCCTCGGTCGAGCGGCAGCGGCGGCGGCGAGGGCGTGATGAACTTCTCGCTCTTCTCCCGCCCGGCCGTCCTGGCGAGGGCGACGCTGGAGAGCGCGCAGAGGACGCAGGGCACCGACAATAAGGCGTCCAATGTCACCGCGAGCAACCGCGTCGAGTCGACGGTCGTGCAGACGGCGAGCGGGCCAAGGAGCGCACCGGCGTTCGCCGATCAGAGGGCGGCGGCGTGGCCGCCGCAGCCGAAGGAGATGCCGTTCGCGTCCACGGCAGCCGCTCCCATGGCCCCGGCCGTTAACCTGCACCACGAGATGGGCCGTGACAGGGCAGGCCGAACCATGCCTGTCCACAAAACCGAGGCGAGGAAGGCACCTGAGGCCACGGTCGCGACATCGTCGGTGTGCTCCGGCAACGGAGCTGGGAGTGACGAGCTGTGGCGCCAGCAGAAGCGGAAGTGCCAGGCCCAGGCAGAGTGCTCAGCTAGCCAAGACGATGTAAGTAAATGGTATGAGATAGATATGCACTGCATAACCAGCTGACTATACCTTCGCTGATTCTCATGATAAAAAACTGGTTCTATTCAGGATCTTGACGATGAACCTGGAGTATTGAGAAAATCTGGAACCAGGAGCACGAAACGCAGCCGCACAGCTGAGGTTCACAATTTATCAGAAAGGGTGAGTAGCTCACATCTTCAGTGCATGGATCATCCTGCATCCATTTGCTTCAAAGTTCACATGTCAGTGCATTGATCATCCTGCATCCATTTGCTTCAATCCCATGACTCGACTCATGCTGCAATTTTATTGACTGTATTGCAACCCAACAATCTTTGCAGAGGAGAAGGGACAGGATCAATGAAAAGATGCGCGCTCTGCAAGAACTCATTCCCAACTGCAACAAGGTAAAGATAAGCCATTCCATCGTCTTGCTCCCTCTGAGATGCCTCTGAATGAACATTTGGTCAATTCAGGCATGCTATGTTTTGCAGATTGATAAAGCCTCGATGCTGGATGAAGCTATAGAGTACCTCAAAACCCTTCAGCTTCAAGTACAGGTACATTGAAACTGCCTTCGAACAAATGTACCATGATTGTCGGGTGAATATGTACATAGATGCATTGACAAGGTGCAGTTGTCATTGACACAGATGATGTCCATGGGAACTGGGCTGTGCATTCCTCCAATGCTATTACCAACAGCCATGCAGCACTTGCAAATTCCACCGATGGCTCATTTCCCTCATCTCGGCATGGGATTGGGGTACGGGATGGGCGTCTTCGACATGAGCAACACTGGAGCACTTCAGATGCCACCCATGCCTGGTGCTCACTTTCCCTGCCCAATGATCCCAGGTGCGTCACCACAAGGTCTTGGGATCCCTGGCACAAGCACCATGCCAATGTTTGGGGTTCCTGGGCAAACAATTCCTTCGTCAGCGTCTAGTGTACCACCATTTGCATCTTTGGCTGGTCTTCCTGTTAGGCCAAGCGGGGTCCCTCAAGTATCAGGCGCCATGGCTAACATGGTGCAAGACCAGCAACAAGGCATAGCGAATCAACAGCAGCAATGTCTGAACAAGGAAGCTATACAGGGAGCAAATCCAGGTGATTCACAAATGCAGATCATCATGCAGGTACTAATTAAAAATTAACAAATGATGTCAAGCGAATAGAAGACATTTGCTAGTACTTAAGTGCATTACTTACTCCAGTTTATTTTAATATTCCAGGGTGACAACGAGAATTTTAGGATACCCTCTTCAGCCCAAACAAAAAGCAGTCAATTTTCAGATGGTACCGGCAAGGGGACCAACGCTAGAGAGAGAGATGGGGCTGAAACATAAAGAAAGGCCAGTAGGTGTAACTTGACTTTCATGCTAAATTTGAGATCTACCACTGAAATCTGCAGAATGTTCCTGTCCTAAAAAGATCAATGGCTGAGGAATTTCATGTACGACCAACTAACAACTTCCAGATATGAAAGTTAGCAATTCATACTGGGAGAACTTACTTGAGTATCAAGATCCACGAGGCAGATGTATCAGCCAAGATGCCCCAAAATTTTGTGTAAAATGTAGATGGTAGAAGATGCTACCAGGTTACAAGCTGTAATTCTTGACTTCCAGTGCAGTTTCCTATGAGTAGTTTTTGCCCTATCTGAAATCTTGGACCAATATATCTTATTTTCCATGGTTATCTTATGACTGTATACTGGGAGCCTGGGATCCCTTGGTCTCCACGCGGTTTAACTTGCACCGCTGTTACTGTACAGCGCTTTCTGGTGCAAATAATGATGAATTATTATGACACAGTTGTTTATGCTTACAAGTTTGGTCAGATTATTTGCAGTGCTAGAAGGAACAGACTTAGAAGCACTTTCTTCTACAAATTATATGAACATGGAGATATATCATCACAACCCTGAAAATTATGCTAACAGTGAAATGTCAGTTCAATATAACCGGACATCAGGGAAGGATTTAGCAACCACACAGAACAAATGCATATTTATCAGACATATGACTATATGAGACGTCTAGAAAATAGAGAATTTACCTGAGAATTGCAGCCTACTAGTTAGCCATACAACAGACAAAGGATAAATCAGTACGCTGTTTCATTTTTTTTCTAAAAAAGTATGTTGTTCGGTTACAAGGACACATGCTACTGCAGAAACATGCAAAAAGCTCAATCATGAGCATATTTTACATATGCTTGATTACATGTTTGCATCAGTCTGTTGACTTCATCCGTCAGCTTAGTTTGTTAGCCCTTAAGGAAACAAGCATTAAACAATCAGTGGCCGTGTTATCGTTATAATACAATTAAGCAGCATAGTACTAAAATAAGCTCAGATGTCAACAAGTAACCAGGTAGTACAATGCAGGAAATCAAAGATGAAAGATACAACTAAAATGCTGGCACCAATCCAGAGTCTTAAAGTATACCGTTTTTGCCTAAAAGGAACAAAGTACTCACCTCGTTGTACTCCACAAGTTTGACAGGTTACTGGTTCATTTGCCCTGACATCTTGAATTGTACGGTTTTCATTACCCAAGCACATCGTTCTACAGTAACATGTGTAAGAGGATAAGCTAGATGTGGTATCTAGCATTATTGTAACACTTAATGGAGGAACAAGATTGCTTTCCTCTCCTATTTTATTCCTGATATGACGTAGCTTTGAAGACTGGTGTGGACAGGCATCTGATAGATTCATGCATCCTTGCATGTGGAGAAAGCACAAGCAAAGTTCCCCTCCAATAATTCAAGTTCTTATAATGAAATTTCAGACATATGTGTTGTCGTCAGTTTTCAGTCCTATCTTCAGATCGCCCATTGAAGGATCTTTTGCTCCTCTCAAAATAAGGAAATGCTTCGCCTTGCAAGATTATTCACTGTTGCCAGCTTATCGTATGCTTCTCTTTTCTTCTCCACCTCTCCTTTCCTATGACCTATATTTTACTTTCCATTGAATGCGTACAGTTAGCTTAGTTCGATCTCAAGATGTCATCTTTAAGTCTGTCAGCAACTATGTATGCCCTGATCATCTACAGTATGGGGAAATTGTGGACAGTGATGTATGAGAACGGCAACATTGATGTTAATATATATTCAAGGACTGGAGTGGGTCCAGCCCAAGAAATGGGGCCTGGGAAACATTTCATGTTGTGATAGTTGGCCTTGGACATGCACATGATAAGAGAACTCTATTGTCTTTATTCTAGATATTATTGGAACCAAACCCAGAGGTATACTGTGATGGGCACAACAATCACAATCACCTTACACAGTTAATCAGATTGATTTCCTGCTTGTCAAGATTCTTTCCAATGTTCAAACAGAACCACAAAGTTCAGGATAAGTTTCACATCAACACTTCTAGACCAAGTCTGGATAATTTTAGAAGCCCCCTCACAATGTTTTCACAAACATGGAAATGGGCACTCATAAATTACTTGCACACACTATCTATATATATTGTAATAGTCCAAAGTTGCTGTTACCAGGATTAGCTGAATCCAGAGTCAGAAACACAACAACATGTCATTGTATCTTGCCAGATACACATTTTGATTTTGGACTCCTACAGTTTGAAATTTGACGAGGAATATTGTTACGACTTGAACTAACACGATTGTTACAAAATAAATGTTATAGCACCTTTTACATATGTTTATTGTGTTTAGCATCCAAAACTATTTACAACAAACTGTGTTCTCTTCGGTTGGCATTGCCAAAAACTTAATTCATCAGAAACTGGCATTGATGGCAATTTTCTATTTCCAAACTATTTTGGATCCAACTACTGCTTTATCCTAACTTTCTGATGTGATATTTATTAGGAGTACTTATTAGGTTATCAGAAGTACAGTGTGTTTCCTAGCCAGCTCTCTGACTAGATAGAAAACTATGCTCCAATGCCGTTGCTTACAGGAAACTTCTAGTGTTTTTTCATGATACACTCGTTCAAAGGACACAACTAAACACTAGTCAGTTGAAGGGTATATGTTCATATCCTGAACCTGTGACGAATTATTGGCACTGGCAAGAGACGGGTGCGGGTCGACACATGGGTAATAGGTGACCCCATCTTAGGTCAACTAAATGAACCAAATATCGTTTTGAGGAGTTCAAAACTAGAACTTAGTTTGTTTTAGTTGAACTAAAATGGGTCACCTATTACACCCGGGTCCAACCACACTCATCCCATACAAAGAAACAAGTTACAAAAACATTAAAGTAGATTCAATCCAACAGGTCCCACCAAAAAAGACTTAATTCAACAGACTCACCAGCCAGACAGATTCTTCAGTGCCTCTACATTTACAATTGCTGGCCTTTCTTGTAAAGGAGCAAGCCATTTCTCGTATGTCAGTATCGCGCAGAGAAAAACAATTTACTGACCAATCAATTCCATAGTTAAGAATTAAGGTCCTTCCATACTTCGCAGCCACCCTTCATATTGCAACAATGATCAGATGAGCTGACACATAATATGGCTATGTCATTATAATAAGCACACTTCATGAAATAATAAGGTCTGAACCTGCCAAATCAGAAAACAATATCATGTAAGATACTGATCTATCTGCCTTATTATCAAAATGCACATATATCATTTCCATGACCTCATACCGTAGTAACAAGGATCGAGCTTTTAAGATAGATGCAGTATGAAATGTGAACCAGATATTTCTTTTGGTTTCATTACACAGAACACAAGTAAACATAGAGGGCAACCATACACTTCAAATGGTAAAGGGCAGGCAGATTTCAAATAGCAGACACTCATGCAAAATACTATCCCAAAAATGTTGAGGTTCAAAGAATAAAAAAAATCAAATTCATGGCAACCCTGTAAGGAATATTTCTGCAATAGAGAATTTCTGTTTTGGTAGGAACATTGTCATAAGAAATACAACACATACTGATGGGGCAAAAGATGTGACTAGATCACGATATGTACAAGTAGCACTTAATAAGTGAAAATCTAGATGGCCTCGAGTTTAATGTTTGAAAGGTTATTGCTCAATGAATCAACATCTTCATCATTAGGAAATTCTTCATTGGCATGTGAAACTGGATCTTCTTGAACGTGAGGAAACTCATCCTGCAATTCTGCTTCCAGCTTCATGAATTCTTCCTCGATATTTTCTTCAGAATCCATTGACTGGAGTATTACTGATCCTGAAAAATATTTGAAATCAGAATTTTGAAAAGAACAAACAAACATCCACAAATCCTTTTACAAACAGAGGGAAACAAATTGATGCTGTAGATGAGAAGACATATATAGCAAAAGGTTTAGTTCTGTAGCACCAGAAGGAATGCACGTCAGGAAAATACCACCAAAAGAACAACGGAAACTTGCCCTTTTAGTACCCTGTACCCCCTTTGCAAACATACCACTCTAAACTGCAGTCTTTCTACAATAGCACTCCTAGACTCCTCCATTATGCTCCATCTATCACTTTATTACCATGGTTGATCTAATTGCTGCAGCACCAGTTGAATTGGTAGAAGGGCATGTATACCGCATCCAATTAACAGATTACTAGCAGTGACCACCACAGCAACCAGCACATCTCCACCACCTGCACCTTCTTCAACCTCTGGTTCTGCCTCATCCAGCAGCTTGGGTAAGGCCAGTTTGTGAGGAGGTTAGCACTGGACCAGCTGCGGACTGCAGCCATGTTGGCATATTTAGCATAGCCGTGTGTATGCACACAAACATGCATGTTCTTAGATGTCCTCTTCTTTCTTCACTCCATGTATAGCTGTGGAGTGGATCTGGTGAGGAACATGCAGAAGATGGCAGAGACCATGCAAGTGGACTCCAGCAATCATTCTGTCGACAGCAACAAGAGTGCAAAACAAGGGATTGAGCTGGATTTGAGATCTTGAGCAAGGACTTGTGGGTTAGTTGGATTTGGGAACTTGAGCTGAATCAAGTTTGGCTAGGTTGATTTTGGATATGTCAAAAAATAGGCGATCTTTCCCAAATTTCTCTTGGTGGCTGGGAATAACAGAAGTTTTCCATCTTTTCCCCATTGCATCACAGAGCCCTAAATCTAATACATAGGTCAAAGAATACCAAAAACTGCATATTGTTTTTCCCTAAAGAAAATCATCACCACATGAAAAAAAGACAACCTTATCTTGCATGTCTAATATAAACTTGCTCGACTGGAAACTGGAATTTCCTTGTAAAAGAACAACAAAAATGAAACCTCACCTAAGGCAGCATCAATTTCTCTTTGTGTTGCAACAAGGTCATCAACCTCCTTTAGGTGCTCGTTAACCTCCTCTACGCTCACATGATGCTCATTCATCGCCTGAATACTGACTTTGATTGCCTCATTAACCTAGCAGAGAATGTCAATGTATAATGAATAAATTGTGTATGCAGCATCCCCATTTTTTCTAGGGTCTATATTTAGTAAACATTTTTTCCACAAAAGTTATATACCTTCTTAGTTGTTTCAGCACTAGCAATTAGGCTTATAACTTCTTCAACCCTCTCCAGCAGTGGTGTGAATCTTTTCCTGCTTTCTGAGAACAACTTAGACTGCCGCACATATCGATAAGCTGACTGTTTATCCCCAGATTTGAAGGATACCAATGCCCTCCTTCTTGAACTATCATTACATCGAATTATTAGAGAAACATAATTTTATTTAGTACTTATGAATAGGTCCCCTCATCTTGGGGATAAAGAAGGGAAAACACAGTAATTATAGCATAATTTCCAACAATGTGAACAGACAATTCATTTAGCATGAAACAAAGTTAGATAATACCTAGAATGGAATGTGTAGTGCCAGTCTTTTACATAACAAACGAAACTAGCAAAAGGAAGTAAACAGTACCACAAACGATGCAGCAGGTGATAGTCTTAAAGATAACTGCACTCCTGAGTACCAAGTTTAGAACTGTCCTATGCAATAGTATCTGTTGAAATGTACACTATTTGTTTCTATGCAATCTAAAACAGAACGCCAATGTCTGAACATGGCATATCCTTTTATAACGCACTAGTCATGCATCCAAATTGCAGAAACAAAGTTGGAAAGTAGACTAACATTTGCCATTGGCGATCAAGTACATCAAGCTGCTGCTGCAACTTTTCTTCCGTCAAAATTAAGTGCAATGTGTTGTGGTCAAGCTTTGAGACAGCAGGAACTTGTGCAGCCATGAGCGAAAACTTCACACCCTGAAGGTACAAATGGGATGAAGTAAAGTACCACAATGCACTTCCTGCAATGAAATTGCTGATAATGGACAACAAAGAGCACAAACCTCAACAGAATCTTGCCTCCTATCAACAATATACCGTGCTTTCCCACATTGTGTCAAGTAACATAATGCAACATGAGAATCCTCCTGCCCATGGAAGAAGGCATTGAATTTACTAATAGTAACAATGCACGTTGACGTCCAATGAGAGTTCCTCAGCTGATCAACAATTTCAGCAGCCCGTTCCTGCAATTGACTAGCAGATATCCAAATAAACAACGATAGAACTGGCACAATAATCACATGAAAAAAAATAAAATAGAAACTCTTATATACCTCAATCAACGATTTAAACACGAGGATGTCGTCCTGCGCAATCGGCTGCTTTGAGATGACAGCCATCTGGCTCATCCTCCTGACTAGCTGATACAAGCTCCCTGTAGTCGGATCGATTAGCTCCGATTTGAGCAGAATCTCCCCATCGGCACGCATCTCTTCCTGAAATGACGACAAATTTTGGCCCCCGTTTGGCAACAAATTAACAGCAAATAGGGTGAGATCGTCGTGGATACTGACCAGAACCTGCGGCAAGCACAGCGGCGTGAGGCCACCAGGGCGCGCGAACCAAACACCCAGCACCTGCAGTTGTCAGCGCCACCGCGGTGTCAGAGGAGGGAGCAAGCGAACCGGATGCAGGGTGGGAGCGGGAGGAGGAGGAGGAGGAGGAGGCGTCGAGCGCTTACGAGGCGCGCGGGGGCGGAGCAGAGGCGGAGGCGGCGCGCGACGCGGAGGAGGAGGCCCTTCCAGAAGAGGAGCTTGGGCTGGGGCCAGTCGCGGCGCTGCCCCGTGAAGGCCTTGAACCTGGCGCGGAGCTCGTCGCCGTCGGGATCGTCCCACCACCCGCCGACCCCCACCTCCTCCCTCACCGCCGCCTCCCACTCTCCCCTTTCGTCGCCGCCGCCGCCCATGTCACCACCCCACGCGGCCGCTGCGTCGGGGAAAAGAAGGAACCGGAAAAGAACGAGAGAGGAGGGAATTCCGTTCGGGCCCGCATATTTTGTAACCTCGGCCCACTTACGGCCCGTTTATCGGCCTGCTCGTATAGCTCATTAGGGCCCGGCCCATCTCTCATTTTCTGATAACTTATGTCGAGTTGGGAGTAGGATTAGATGTGACACGGTTTGGCTGGGATTCACTTTGGGTCCCTCTATTCGTCACGTAATCCGATTTTCATCCTTGACTACAAAACCGGGTACGACCCATCCCCTAACTTTCGAAAACAAGCAAACGAGATCCCTCGGCAGTTTTAGCTGACGTGGCGCTTACGTGGCTTGTTTGACTAGTTCTACGTCCCACGTGGCATTGATGTGACGCTGACGTAGCAATTATATCTCGGAAAAATAATAAAAATCATAGGCCCACATCTCAACCACAGAAAAAATAATTTAAAAATGATGGGTCCCACATGTCAGCTAAAAAAAATGGTGGGGCCCACGTAAGCCCCATATGTCATTCTCAAATGATCAAATCCAATCCTCTTCTTCCTCCTCTCTCCTCCTCTCTCCAGCTCTCCCCATCTCTCTGCTCCCTCCTCTTGCTGGGTGGTGTAAAGTACGGCGGGCGGCGGCGGTCATCTCTCTCTTGCGCCGCTCGCCTAGCCGTCCGCCACCCTCCTCCCTGATGGCCGCCGGCGGGAGAAGAGGGAGCGGCGTGTGGTGGCGTTGGCGGCGAGAGAGGAGGAAGCGGCGGCGAGAGGAGGGCGTCCGGGTGGTCGGCGGCGGCGACACGGATGGCGGCGTCGATGGCATCGGATTCTAGGGGGCTCCCCAGCACCGAGCACTGCGCCAGAGAAGAAGGCGGCGGCGCCCCGGGCAGACCCGACAAGGAAGTCCTCCTCCTCGTCATTCCCTTCCCCATCTTGGCTCTCTGCAGCGGCGACACGGATGGCGGCGTCGATGGTGTCGGATTCTGGGGGGGCTCCCTAGCAGCAAGCACTGCGCCAGAGAAGAAGGCGGCGGCGCGACGGCCACCGCCGCCGCCGCGGCGGTGGCACCCCGGGCGGACCCGACAAGGAAGTCCTCCTCCTTGTCATTCCCTTCCCCCTCTCGGCTCTTCGCGGTGGCGACACGGATGGCAGCGCCGATGGCGTTGGATTCTAGGGGGCCTCCCCAGCAGTGAGCACTGCGCCAGAGAAGAAGGCGGCGGCGCGACAGCCGCTGCCTCCGTCGTAGCGGCGGCACCCCGGGCGGACCCGACAAGGAAGTCCTCCTCCTTGTCATTCCCTTCCCCCTCTCGGCTCTCCGCCGCGGCGACACGGATGGCGGCGTTGATGGCGTCGGATTCCGGGGGGCTCCCCAGCAGCGAGCACTGCACCAGAGAAGAAGGCGGCGGCGCCCCGGGCGGACCCGACAAGGAGGTCCTCCTCCTCGTCATTCCCTTTCCCCTCTCGGCTCTCCCTCTCCTCGCCTTCACGCGGACCGGCGGCACTCCGGTCGGGGGGCGGCGCGGACCACGCCCGCCGCCGCCGCAGGAGCTCGCCTGCTCTGCCGCCCACCCGCGCCGTCCGCTACCCGGGAAGGAGAGAGAGAGAGAGAGAGGGGAAAGGGAAGAAGAGAGGAGTGAGGCTGACATGTGGGGCCCACGTGGGCCCCACCATTTTAAAATTATTTTTTTGTGTGCAGCTGACATGTGGGGCCACACTTTTTATTATTTTTCCGAGATATAATTGCCATATAAGCGCCAAAATGCCACGTGGGACGTAGACTTAGTCAAACAAGCCACGTAAGCGCCACATCAACCAAAACCGCCTTCAAAACCGCCGAGGGACCATGTTTCCCCGGTTTTTGTAAGTTGGGGGAGAGGTCATACCTGATTTTACGGTTAAGGAATGAAAATCAGACTAGGCTACAAATAAAGGGACCAAAGTTAACTTATTCCTTTGGCTGGTGCCTCGAATTGTCACTAGTGTCGCTCTCTCCCTCGGTGTACCCGGCGTCTTGCAGACGGCAGCACTCACCATATCGGCTCTCTCCGAAATGATGGAATATAAATCTTTGTCGGGACACCTGCTTCAAATCAACACAGCGAACAGGGCCGGCCCCGACTTTGTGGTGGCCCGGTACGGTGCGGAACAAAAAAATAAAGGCTCCTAAATCACTATAAAAATACAAGGTAATATTTAAAAAGTCATTGTCATTAACGAATTTCACACTAATAAGTTTAAAATACAATCAAGCAGTCACGAACTCACGATATCCTCGATCGCCGATCGGTTTTCTATCTTTCCTCTAAGCCTATTAGGCCTGATATTATAGTATACATATTTTAGAGGCCTCTAATTTTTGGAGGCCCAGTGCGGTCGTACCGTCCGCACTGCCCCAAGGCCGGCCCTGACAGCGAATGCCCCAACTGTTCTCTCCCCCAATTAATGTACGCAGATATACTACTTCACTGCCTTAAGGCCATTCACAGTGGCCTCAGTGACATTTAGTCTCGATACCAAAAGGCGAATATTCCTTGCTACATTCTCCATCCGTGCAGTTTCTTCAGGATCGTGTAGCCAACTTTGACCACGGGTTCCTCGTCGCGGGTGGGACCCATATTCGTGCTCCATGACGTCAAGAATGGGAGAGAGGAGAGAGGGGAGAGGCCGCCGACGGGGAGAGAGGAGGGGTGGCGCCGTGGGGCAGGTCGCAGTGGTTTCACGCGGCTGCCCCCGCTGTCCCTCGCTCCCGCGCCAGAGGAGGAGGAGGAGGGGAGGCACGGCGGAGGAGAAGAGAAGAAGGAGACAAACCGACGTCGATTCGGCGACGGCGAGCTTGATCCGTAGTCGGCGCCGCCGCCGCTCGGGCCGCCCGGCGCCTCCGTCGCCGCTCGCGCCTCGCACCGCCCTCACTCCGCTGCCGGCACCAGCACCGCTAGGGCCGCTCAGCGTCGGCGTCGTCGCTCTTCTCTCCCGCCGTCAGCTTCGGTTCCTCCGCTAGGGGAAGAAAAGAGAGAGGAGAGGGGGGGGCTTCATTTGGTGGGGAACAAAAAAGGAGAGGAGAGAGGGAGAGTTCAAAAGTGAAAAAGATGGTACCGGTGAGACCCACTACAAACAACTTGCACTGTGAAACATGTAGCTTAACACGTTCTTGGTCTGTGTGGCATGCGAGGAACGGCAAATATGAGCGACGCACTGTTAACACCCTTATGAGAGCACGAATCTCACCCACTGTCCTAAAGTACTTTAGTAATTTTTTTCGTAAAAGTTACGGTAAATTAAAAAATATATCTCAGAAATTCTTGACCTTATGATCTATTATACAGTTTGAGTTCCAATAAGCTTATCTTCTATCTCCGGTGCTATCAGATGAACTCTCTTGTAGTTCGGTCCTAACCAATTAGAATACAATGGCTACGGGCACAGGGAGCGGCCGTGCGGGGATAAGGAGCTATTTCCCAAATTTACATAGAGGATGAGCTTATTTTCAAAAGTGAACGAACTTAAAAACCGACTCATACACATATGACGTTCCAAAGTACCGATAAAAACATATTCAATTTTTATAATAGTAGAGATATGGTAACAGAATGGAAAAAGTACGAATTACCCCCCTCCCTGAACTATCGCGGTCGACCGAATTACCCCCTGAACCTGAAAACCAGACATCGTTCACCCTGAACTTTCAATACCAGACAAATTACCCTCCTCGACCCAATCCAGAGCAGTTTTGTCCTACGTAGCGTATGCGTGGCAATCCGGTTAGCATTTTATTTTTTAAAAAATAGTAGGACCCACATGTCATACACCCTCTTTCTCTCTCTCTCTTGGTCAGTCATTGGGCAGTAGCGCGCACGCCGGCACGCATGGCGCGGCGCGGGGACAGGCGGTGGGCAACGGCGCGGGTCGGGCCGACAGTTGGAGAGCACGGCGGCACGCGGAAAGGTGGAGGGGATGGGGGACGGAGAGGTCGGCGCGCACGATGGCCATGGCGGAGAGGCGGCTGGAAGCGTCGGCAAGGGGAGGTAGAGGGGATGGGGGGAGTGGAGGTGGATGGGGAGGTGGAGGAAATGGAGGGGCGGGCCGGCGGTCGGAGCACACGGCGGTGGCCATGGCGGAGAGGTGGGCGGCGGCGCTCGCCATCATGGCGATGGCAGAGGTCCGCGGGAGGCAGCCACGCGATGGCCTCCGCCTCCATTGCCAACCACTCGGTCCGTCTCCGCCGCCGCGAGCTCTGCCTCAGCCGACCGCGCGGGCGAGCTCCGCTTCCTGCCGCCTCCACCTGGTCCGTCCCCGCCGGCGACTCTGACTCGGAGCAGCAGGGAGAAGAGGACCGCTGTACACGCCATGAGAGCAGCCGTCCACGCCGACCGCCCGACCGCCCGCCCCCATCCCCGCGCCGGCATGTGCGCAGCGCGCCATCTCACGTCGATCAGATATCCGGAGGCGGGCAGTGGGAGAAGAGGCGCCGGTGGCGGGGAGATCCGCCATGCTCGCCGCCCGCGGTGGCCTTCCAGTCGCCGCCCCCCGCGCCCTCGCCACCGCCGCCGGCTGCCGCGTCCCCGTCACACCCGCCGCCCGCTGCACGCCGCACCCATCGCCGGTTGCTCCCGTACGAGAGAGAGGAAGATAGGAGAGAGAAGAGAGAGAATAAGAGGGGAAGAGGAGTATGACAGGTGGGTCCTATATTTTTTAATAAATAAAATACTGACTGGATTGCCACGCGTACGTCACGTAGAACAAAACCGATCTGGATTGGGTCGAGGAGGGTAATTGTCCGGTATTGAAAGTTGAGGGTGAATGATGTCTGGTTTTCAAGTTTATTAGGGTAATTCGGTCGACCACGATAGTTCGGTGGTGGGTGGTAATTCGTACTTTTTCCTAACAGAATTGCAACATTTGAAATGAGAAATTCTTATAAATTATAATGTAGCTAGGCAGCTGCAGGTGGGCTGTTTGCATGCCCTCTGCTTCAGTCTACACATGATAATTTGGTGAGCACTGGAAGTTCTCTCATGGAGTTTCTTGCAAAGCAGTGCTAAATTAATTGGTGTAGGGCCTGGATACACGATGGCGTGAGTTCTTTCTTTGTCAGCGCTTAATTGGATTTCATGCACTCAGTGGCAGCATTATCGCGACAGGCCGTAACCCAACTGATTGATCGTCGATCAGATGGCGCAAATTAAAGGACCGTTCATATATTCGTCCTCCCCCAGCCCGTTTTCAGTTGTACGTACCATAATGGGTCATTTGAGTTTAGCGTGTGCCTACCTGCCTGATTGTCCTAGTAAGCTTTGTAGCTTTAGCTAGCCAGAGAGGTTATGTCGCGATTA